TCACGGAGTACTCTCAGGAGCAGAAATCTTAAACAATATTAACAGAATTTCAAAAATTATAAATTTAGTGTGAACTAGAGTAACCAAAGCCTCGTACTTTATCTGTTGATAGTGCGATCGATTTTCATTTAGTGTATTTCTTTTTTTCTTCATTGTTTTATTACTGCGGAAAATCTCAAGAATATAATCAAATACTTTTTCTGATGCCGACCACTCAGATTTTTTTCCAGCCGATTGTGAAAGCCAAAAAAATTCATACGGGCTTAAACGAGGTGTCATATGAAAACTTTTTCAGTTTTGATTTGGATTCTAAAAAGATCAATAGGTATCTCGTTGCCAAAAAAGCTGCCCTGGGTTTTGTCTGGGATAATTTTTTTTGTGTCTGCGGTGAACTACTGCAATGAATTATTTATTAATATGCTCGAAATTGTTGGCGGTAATGACGCGGATCCTAAAATGCGCCCATTGCCAATCCAATTTTTTCTTAATTTTAGGATTATGATTATCATTCTGTTAATATTTCTCTAGATTCATGCTTTTGCATCATTCTGGCTAATGCTGCGCATCCATTACTTGTGCGTTGTTTTTTTTTAATTTTAGTTTACGTCACACCTGTTTTGTTATTTCTTTCATTAATTTGTCTCTACCCCAAACATCCCAGGTTCCCTTCCGATGTATTTCAAAATGGCCATGGACTGGAAAATCGTCCAGGGTAAGCTCGGAAAAACTATCTCTAGATTATATCCTATTCAAACCAACCTGCGATATCGTCAAACTCGTAATATTTCCACTCGTATGGCCCCTCTAGGTACTCTAGCAGCATTCTGATTGGCTCTCAGAGCGCTCAAGACTTCCAGTAGCCGAGTTCAATCGCCATTCTTTTATCGTTTCGTCTTAACTAATGTTGATGCAGCTGAGTTTGTTTTGTAGCGTTATCTAGTATGCGCCCGAATACAATTTTTTTTCAAAGCTACAATATCTATTTCAAATGAATGCGAGACACGTTTCAACAGTAAGTCTCAAATATTGCTTAATTTACAACGAAGTTTATTGTTTACCTGTCTGTATAATATTACTCTCCTAAATAAACTATTAACTTATTTTCTATGACCAGCTTAATGCATATCATAATAACAAAGACTGCTTATGTCAGGGCAAAGGCCTGAATGTTCCGACTTTGTGACAGGTTGACTTCAAACTATATTGTAATAATATTTCCAATTAATTTTCGATAGATCTTATCAAGATCTTCAGAGGAAATAGCATAATCTTGTAATACCATCAAGTCACCAAGATCAAGTCACCATGGATATCTTGGCAACATCCTGAATTTTTTTTTTTTAAATCGGTGACACAGTTTATTCATGAAGAATAAAAAAATTCTCAGTTGGAAAAGAATCGCAGTGCATTAACTAATTTCGGAGTTATTCAAGTATTCATAATTTGATATTGTGTGATAAATCAATGAAACTATAAAGATGGGGCGCGGAGCAAGTATGCTTTGTCACGGAATACGCTCAAGAATAAAAACCTTAGACAATATTAACAGAATGCCAATGAAAATTATGAAATTACTTTCACTGAAGACCATACTGCTCAGTCTTCCGAATCCAAATTTATTTATAAGGTTGCAAAAAAATTAGAGAAACAAAACTATTTTTATTTCCAATTCATTGGCAATGTCGGCGCCCCAGAATTACTAAATCAATCCAAAAACGGTTGCTGTTTAGATGAATTTGAATCAAAATTTTAGATAAATTCTTAGTAGCAAAAAAATTCTGAGTTGCAAAAAAAAATTTGTTTTATGGCCCGCTTCTTTTTAATGACCAGCAAACATTTAATCAACTTGAAAGAGAGTCCTAGGATACAAGGAAATAGTGGCTACCACATCAAATAAACTGATTGATCCAACTTCCGAATTCAGTTTTCGACTTTTTTTAACAAAGCGTTTTGTTTTCATTCCATCTAAAAAATTTTGCTGTCCGACGCTCGAATTTAAAAAAATCATCTGTGATAAATTTGGTGAAATTATGGGGGCAATCTACAATAATTACTGCGCAATATATTGATTTCTTATGACATGCGCAAGCTGCTGACTGAACCATTTCAAATTGAAATTTAGGTAAACTTTTTGGCCATGAAAGTAGAACATGAGATGATAAATCCATTTCAATGAATTTCACATTGCAATTGGAGGTTATGGAGAGGAAAAAATAAATAGATAGATTTTTTTAACTATTTTATTTTTCTTTTTAGTAAAAACTTCTAATTGGCTTATAAGTTTAGTTGGAACATTCCGGGCTTTGTCATGATATACAAGAAGTCTTTTTGTTCCGACTTTCGATACGAAAGTAACGAAATATTTGTGCTCGGGGTGGGTATTTTTTCTTCAGACAAATTTCGACTTTTTAACTAGCCTTTTTTGACAGAAAATTTTTATATCATTCAAAAGGTTTTGTTGTCCTGAGCTCAAATTTGAATAGATATTTCACCTGTGACTATTTTTCGTTAAGTTATGGGGGTTTAAAGACTGGCATTTTGGCCAATTTGGGAAAATTAACGCGGGATATAATTCGCGCTATTAACGCATAAGCGGAGATTTAATCCGTCTTAGAAATCGTTCCAAATTGGTTGAAAGAAGCTTATTTGCCATAATTGATTTGTTACAAGGAGCGAAATCTATCATTTTGTACTTTATATGGCGTGTGGGGGGAAGATTTTCATAAAAAATTTCAAATTTCAGAATTTTTTGTTTTATTTCATTTAATTTTTTAACGTTATTACTGCTTCATAAGCCTTAAAAGGCAGTCGGAACATTCAGGGCTTCGCCCTGATACGAGCAGTCTTGTTTGGTTTTGCTTTTAGTTTTAAACTACATTTTTGCATTGTTTTCCTCTACATTATAGACTAACCAGTTTGTTGTTCCGACTTTCGATACGAAAGTAACGGAATATTTGTGCTCGGGGTGGGTTTTTTTTCTTCAGACAAATTTCGACTTTTTAACTAGCCATTTTTGACAGAAAATTTTTATATCATTCAAAAGGTTTTGTTGTCCTGAGCTCAAATTTGAATAGATATTTCACCTGTGACTATTTTTCGTTAAGTTATGGGGGTTTAAAGACTGGCATTTTGGCCAATTTGGGAAAATTAACGCGGGATATAATTCGCGCTATTAACGCATAAGCGGAGATTTAATCCGTCTTAGAAATCGTTCCAAATTGGTTGAAAGAAGCTTATTTGCCATAATTGATTTGTTACAAGGAGCGAAATCTATCATTTTGTACTTTATATGGCGTGTGGGGGGAAGATTTTCATAAAAAATTTCAAATTTCAGAATTTTTTGTTTTATTTCATTTAATTTTTTAACGTTATTACTGCTTCATAAGCCTTAAAAGGCAGTCGGAACATTCAGGGCTTCGCCCTGATACGAGCAGTCTTGTTTGGTTTTGCTTTTAGTTTTAAACTACATTTTTGCATTGTTTTCCTCTACATTATAGACTAACCAGTTTGTTGTTCCGACTTTCGATACGAAAGTAACGGAATATTTGTGCTCGGGGTGGGTTTTTTTCTTCAGACAAATTTCGACTTTTTAACTAGCCCTTTTTGACGGAATTTTGAAATATCATTCAAAAGGTATTGTTGTCCTGAGCTTAAATTTGAAAAGATATTTCACCTGTGATCATTTTTCGTAAAGTTACGAGGGTTTAAAGATTGCCATTTTGACCATTTTGGGACAATTAACGCGCGATATAATTCGCGCTATTAACGCGTAAGCGGAGATTTAATCCGTCTTTTAAATTGTTCCAAATTGCTTGAACGAAGCTTATTTGCCATAATTGATGTGTTACAAGGAACGAAAACTATATTGCATGATTTTCATAAAAGTGATTTTCAAAAAAGTGGGATGATTTTCATAAAAAATTTCAAATTTTTTTTTCATTTTATTTTATTTCATATAATGTTTTTATGTTATTACTGCTGCTCCATAAACCTTCGAAAGCAGTCGGAACATTCAGGGCTTCGGCCTGATACGAGCAGTCTTGTTTATTTTGTGTTCGCCAGGAAAAGAAAAGAACTTTCCAAATTTCTGTTGATAACTTTTATTGGAACATCTCAGTTGCTGTGAAGATACATAACTCTTTACGGATTGCACAACTACAAATATTAGGTTTCAGCAGATGTCGCTTTTAGCGGATACAAGTTGACATATATGCCAGAAGAAAATAGGTCTCATTTCCACTCCCCAACCTTACAAGTTTTCTTATATTTTAGTAGTTGTACGTGTTATTATGACTAAATACGTGATGTTACGATGTTAAGTATGAAAATAAATCTGTTCACAATTGTTAGTTTGTTCACTGCGCCAAGTTTCATTGCAGTCTGACAAAAATGCCACAGAATAAAAAAATTACTTGTGTTAAGTGCGGCATAGAACCTCCAAACATCAGATTAGTTATTATAGCAAGTGCCACTGAGTGAGCACTTAGTTTTTGAGTTAATTTGGAAAAAAAGTAGCCAAACTACAACAGTACTCTTACTAGTGTAAAATAAAAACGAAAAAAATCCCTTTAGTAATCGTATAAAACAATTAGTATCTTTATTGGCGTAAATAGCTCCAGTCGAGGTTTTGTTCGCTCTTGGCTCATTGATTTATAAGTGCTTGCTCTTGGCTCACTTTAAGGTTTGATATATATTCGGTGATAGCTTTTTCAGCAGACCGTTTTTTTAAAACCGATCTTTTCGTCTGCTCAAAATTATCAACAAGGCAGAAAGCTAACTTCAAACGCGGTGTTCATAATGAGTGGTACTGTGCGTGTGGATCAGTGTTTGTCACTAATTTTGCTTTTATTTTTTGAAAATTGATTTTAGATGGTATCCGAGACAAGTGTCTTAACTGGGAACCTCAGCCGCCGACTAAGCGTCTTGGTACGTCAGTCAATTCAATTATGCGTCAGCTTCTTTAAGCTGGTCTGCTAGATTGTGCAAGATTGGTTTGAAAAAGGTCAGTCCCCCATTGAATTGACCATTTGGTGATATCAATACATTATAAGCAACAAAAAATATCATGATATCTTTTAGAAATGATTAAAGCCAAGTTTATATGGCAACTGCTCATCCGATTAGCTGAGTAGAGACCCTTCACTCAAGTTTCCGATGAAGCCACAGATGGAGATGAGCTCATTTGTGTGTCAAGTCTATCGCTCCCAACTCTAGATTTGACGCTGCTTCCTAAAATATATCATAAGAAGTTATTTGCAGTTCAGCTTTTTTCTCCTATTGCGGCTCCTAGCTCGCTCAAAATTAGACTGAAAAGCAAAAGTCTTAAACCAACTTTTGTCGACACTGCGAACAGAAGCTGTCCGAAACTTTGAAATATCGATCGATTCACAGCTTAAAAGAAATCATTTAAGTTTATTTCTCGACCCAATCTGATGAATATTTGTGGCACCTGATTTTGCATGATAAAAAAATTAGAGAGAATTTTCACAGGTCTGAAGATGTAATCGATTGATGCGTTCTTTTACTACGCAAGGAAAGCTCTTAAAATCCACCTTTGAAACTTAAATCAATCAGGTTAGTTTTTTGCGCCCCTTGCGTTTTTGCTTTGAAGCCCGTAATTTGCCCGAAAAGCCCGTAAAAAGAGATGGCTTAAACTCACACAGCTCAATTTTTATATTTTAACCCTCATTGGATATCTTGATGCCATGTTGTCTCAATATCCTGTTATCTTATTTACCTAGCATCTTTCTGACTGTCTAAACAATCTGCAAAGCAAAAAGATAACAACAACAGCGGAATGGAATTAAAGTAACTTCCCAAATGGCATAAAAATGGAAACTTTTCCCAAATGGCATAAATTTGAAGTGTTCATTGTAATTTAAACGTTTTCTATCAATTTCTATTTCTATCATTTTGACAGGAACGAAAGCATGTGAACAAGATTTGGAATTAATTGCTTCCAAACAAATGCTTATGCTTCTTGCTTTTGATAAAAAGTTCTACAAGTTTTTCACGATAAAAGGTCAAAAAACATTTGAATTGACAATTTGACTAATTTTCTCACATTGTTCACGAAAAAATTGTTCTCGATTTTTCCAAAGCAACTGTTGCATGAAATTTATGCCATTTGGGAATTTTTTCATTTTTATGCCATTTGGGAATTATGCCATTTGAGACGTAATCGAATTAAAGATATGTCTTTTGACAAGTTTTTGCGAAGTATGATTTATCGTAAAGCGTTTTTAGCATTTTCTTTTTTATCAAAAGATTGGAAAAAGGCTATTTTCTGAATTCGAGGACTTGAAAAATTTAACATTCAGAAAGGTAGGTTTCCAGGGAAACTACATGACAAAAAGGCTGCGGAAAATTCCATTCTTAATAAAGAAAAAAACTAGGCTAGGACTTTGGTGTTATATCAACTGAAGCTGAATTTGGTCAGTCAGGGGTAAAAATCCCGTCAGACGACAAGTGCTAACTCAGATCAAGTCACAACATATGATTATTGCGTTGACGGGGGATTAAAAACTCGATCTGTCTCCCTAAAAGCAAACGCCTAACGCGCATACTAAGTTAAGGTACTTTTATTGATTCCACTAAAAAAAGAAACTTAACAACGCGATCACTTACATGTATATTGGACACATGTTTGAAATTTCTTTCCTAATTTCATAACTTGAGATTTGATCACTTGGACAAAATAAGTAAGCAGACTCGTAAGTGCCTCTTATTATGTCATTTCCGAGAGGCACTAGAGCATAGTGGTAAGGCGTTCACTTTGAAATAGTCAGATCGTGTATTCGATCCCATGCCATGGCAATGATAGTGTGTGAGGACAAGCTCTCACTTGACCTCTAGCTTCAGATCTATCACAGCCTGACCAATTTCGGCTGCAATAGTGGTACCACGTGAAAATTCTAGACGCAAAAAAAAACGGCCTTGAGTCGCAAAAAAAGAGCTTCGCTCAACAAAATAACACAGTCTGGAATGTGGGGAGATAATGCAAATGGACTAAACTTCGACAGGACTGTTAAGGCCTACTGATAACTCCTCTGCAATTCACAGGAACCAAACTATTATAATTTTATTTTTAGAGATTTTGTTATTGGCAGAAAAATTATAACACATAGTATTTATTTTGGTAGTTATAATCAATTAATTTTGGTAGTTATAATCAATTATATTTGTCAAAAATCAACAAAATAATCCGTTATAATCGATTGTTTACGTCTAAACTTGGCTGCGTGTTGAAATTTCTAGGTAATAATATGAGTCAATTTTGTAATGCGTTTGAGTTAACTTGATTAGGGGAAAAAGCAACATGCATGATGATGACTAGAATGCAAAAAAATTCACACTTGATCACTTGTCTTTAAAAATAAGAAAAAGTGTTTCTGGCAAGAAGGACAATAACTTCTACGAAAAATCATTTCTTTTCACGGGACTAAGAAAAAATTATAAAATAGCAAAAAAAAATTGGGGCAATTCCTTACGCTAATGATGTTGCAAGATTTGCTGTTTGAACTTCTAAAAAATACTTCCTAGCAACCAATGAGAATAGTTTTAGCTGTGTTGCAGTTTTGAAGTTTCCTCTCCCACTTTCCAAGCCTCGAGAAGAAACATTAAATCTACCTGCACTAAGTAGTTGCCGTCTTTTAACTTTCAACGGCGAACACCTCCAGATGATGTAAGCTGTTGTAGATCCGATCAGAGCGCCAGTCAAGACATCCCAGGCATGGTGCCAGTAGTCTCTGACTCGGGTGAGGGCCACCCACCAGGCCAGAATGAAGTAGCCGAACTGGACTGTAATACAGAACACCTTGAAGCACTCACTAATCGGTATCCGCTGAGATCTGATGTACAAAATGGCAGAAACAGCTCCATAGAATATAAACGAGGAGTGTCCGGAAGGAAAGGACATTCGTGCTTCTTTCACGTGGTCTTCATCTGCGTCCAGGCATTTCGGCTGTATGTAGTTAGTGGAATAGGTTATATTATTGCACAATGCGTAGTACTTGTTTATATTAGGGTAGCATACTGCAATGAAATGAGGTCGCAACTCTCCGATGGTTTTCTTGGTCATCAGAAGAATAGTCTGTTCAACTAGGGCTCCACAACCCATAAATAACACACATTGCACCGTGATCAAAAAGTACTTCTGAATGACTGGTGATCTCAAGGCAGTGAAAAAAGAGACACCTTCGGACCGAGTGCAAAAATAGCAAATATTGAAGGAATCGATTAGAATAATAGCTGACGCGGCCATACATACGGACACAACTGCGCACACAAAAGTACTGACACTTTGATGTGGGATGTAAGGCTTCGTAATGAAGTCATCGTCGCAGTAGAAGCCTCGCTCTGTCAACGGAATTGCTAAGGCTATCGCTGCGAAAATTGAGCTGATAATCAAGATAGACATTAGAACATAGAAACTTTTGAGAAACTCCAATTTTCTTTTTCCTCTGATAATCGAGCTTTCACTATCCATTTTCTCGCTTGAAGAACGATGAGTATTAATTCTGACTATTTTTACTGCTACTAATAACAAGCTCTCGATTCTGTGATGCAAGATCAATTGTTTGAACTTCTACTAGAAAACTTATAGCGACAGCAGAACAAACAATGAATGGGCAAAATGTTCACATTGAGATAAACTTGTTTGAGGTCAAGGCCACCTCGTTTGCATATTTACTAAAATGAGCCAACTGTGAATCTCTGGTCAGGAACTTGATCCACATAAAAACAGGAAGCTTTATTGTTTCAAGAATAATACTATCATTCCCGCGACAAGCCATTGTTGTTGGTAAATTTAGAACTAGCTTATCTCACACCAAATCTGTAAGTTGGTATATGCAGAAAATTCAAACGAAGTCACTTCATCTGCTCAGTCAAGGAAAGATGAACGCAAAATCAGCTCCTTTCAAGTTGCTACCAAATTTTCTCCAGCCCTTTAACTTCTGAACAAATTAAAAGAATAAACGAATCTCTGAGATATTTTTTTTTGCCTTAAAAGTAGACATTGAAGCACAAAAATTAGCTTAAGAAAAATTGAAGTGCCTATACATCTTAAACTACATTCCAGGTCTCTAGTCATACTCCCACTGAGGCACCACTACGTTAAAAATAAAGCCCAAGACGAACTTGAAAAAAATATGATTTTTTTGACAATTTAACGAATAAATTGCTATTGAAGTACGAAAAAACAAAGATCTCAAAAAATCGCTGGTTGTGAATATTCATTTACACAGTCAAAATAAACCGTTACTTGCAATGAAGGATTAAAAGCACAATACAGCAATACTGAATCGGAAAACATGAATTGGAATTTTTTCTCAGAAAATGATTTTTGTTTAAATGGGCAAGTGTCCCAAGAAAAACAGCCAAACAAAGGATCTCTTAGAATCACATAACTGAAATGAGCGCATTTTTTGATCAAATCAAAGGATGATTAAACAAAAACAGAACCAAACCGCTAATTTAAAAATTTCCACTTGGAAATTTCAATTAAAAAAATTGTTAATTAGTTTTCAATGAGGAAAAATTATCCCCGTATTATGCAAGCCTGGCGACAATGCCTATATATAGGCCGATAAAACGATGAAAAAGATATACGAGATCGGCCATTGCTTAAACATGTACTGTTATACATAAATAAAACGTCGAAAAACGTTGCTCGCAAATGCAAAATTATAATAGAAAAATTTGAGTCAACATTCATCCCTTTCTTGCGGCTGGAAGGAAAAAGAGAATACAACATTCTCCACAGAGGCGAGGCGGAGCTTTTAATGTTTTTATATCACTAACATAAAATGAAAACAAAAAGCCGAAAAAGAAAAATTTCAAAAAAACAAAGTCATATAAACTTTCATGTATCTCGGTATAAGATCATTCCAGGAAAACATGCGAGATTCAGCAACAGCGGATCAAAAATTACAAAAAGAAACAAAGCTGACAATCTTTGAGCAAACACAAGTTCAGCTGAAAAAAGCATGATTTTATTTTAAAAAATGATTGAAGTCCCACCTTAAACAACAGTGCACATAGTTGCTTTTGCAACTACAATTAAAAATTTTACAAGACAAGAAAATTCATTGATGTGACAACTAAGCCAACAATCTTTGAGCTGAAACCACTTGAACCGAACCAAAAATGATTTTTTTAAAAATCTTTCAAGTCTCTTTAAAACTAGAATGAACAGCACCTGCACTTGCAATGAGGCAACTATGTTTGTGAGGCAACTAATCAACTAAATCAATGATGAGGCAACTAAGCCGACCAGCTTTGAGCAGAAACCAACTGAACCGGAAAAAAACGATGTTATGAAAGTTTTTAAAAAAACCTTTCAAGTCCTCCTTGAAAATAGAAAAAAAAAACATTTGCACTTGAAACTACAGGAAAACTATCTACAGCACAAACAAAATCCGTTGTGGCAATTTAGCCGACAAAACCAGAGCAAACAAACAAAAAACCAACAATTCATTTTTCTCGGAATTTTTTTTCGATTTCGTTGATACTAAAAAAAAACAAGATCCGGCCACGACTCGAGCCCCACATCTTAGGGTGCAAACAAAAGCAACTGTTTTACCTCCAGGCCATGGAAGAAGCAACCTGGAACATGTTTAGATGAGTATTGAAGAGAAGATAAGAAGAGAAAGTGAAAGAAGTGATTCAACTGATTTTGTTAAACTAGTTGTTAACCCGAAAAAAGTTTATATTCCAGTTTGATAACGCTTACTTATCGCAAGCGTAAACAAAATTGGAATGTGGAAAAAATTTCTTCAACTAATCATCAGCTTCAAAACAAGCAATTTTCGAAGGAACTTTTGCTTGTAAAAATTGCTCAAATGACGAGAAAATAGCCAGACTAAGGGAATTGAGGCAAAAAATACGCAGACACGGAAAATCGGACTCTGCGATGCTTGATGTCACTAGTGGAGTACCGAAACGGATTTTGGGCTGATTGCGAATTTCAAGCTATCATGGTTAGAAAATGCGAAAAGACGAGCAACAAAGTCCCTATATTTCTTGAAAAGAACTCTATCATCCAAAACGAGCATCAAAGCAAAACTTAATAGCAATACTGGGTCTGTGGTACCTATCATTACATACGTCGATACATCGAAAAAGTTCATTCGAGGTCTATGTCTTGGATCTACGATTATGACGGAACGTATATTTCGAAATAAACGAAATCTAGCCTGCTCCTTATGTATCTATATATAGAGATCGTTTTGGATGATAGTGTTCTTTTCGAGAAATATAGGGACTTTGTTGCTCGTCTTTTCGCATTTTCTAACCATGATAGCTTGAAATTCGCAATCAGCCTAAAATCCATTTCAGCCCAAAAATTGAATACTATATATATATATATACTTAGCGACACTTCGCTGCTCTGGAAGGTTATCTAAGGAAAAGACGACATTGAACCAAAAAACTACGTGACGTGGAATTAAAATCAGACAAGATAAGGCAGTAGTCAGTTTACAGGCTGTGCAAAAGTGACGAAAACTTCTGGAAGCGATAAGTACTGCTGTACAATATTTGATCTCAAAAAATTGATTTTAAGGACGAGGCAAACCTCAAACAGAATCTAACTCGACTTCCTTGGAATTTTGAGGATAAGCAATAAAATGAACTTGTGCCCTCGCCTAAAATTTGTGGTCCTACGCTTGAGTTTTACCTCTGCGCCAAATTATCAGAAGCAGTCTTTGAGTTTGAAAAAATTAAGAACCAAGTTGAAACAGGCTGCTTACGTGTTTATTTGCAAGAAAAAAAGCTTTTACCGGTCTAGTACCCAGTTTTAAAAGTCAAAGTCTGTTACAGAGTTGCAAAACTCTTGCGAGTGGCTAAGGTAAATGAATTAAATTTTAAAATGGGAAAAAAGGGCAAATATTGCGATTAAAAATTGAGCAAGGAGAAATTGTTGATAATTTGACAAGCCATAACAAGTTACGCTGAAAACTTATTCAGCTAATTCTACAAGCACAATTGCAAATGTTGGTTATAAGATTTCTTCGTTTAATTTTGAACCAACTATCCGTAGGGCAAACTATCTGGCTGTTTGATTCATCCAAGAGCTTTATTTGCTGGCTGCCTGATACAACCTACGAATAAAGTAGAATAAGCCAAGACGTCAAGTAACGTTATTAAAGCAAGTGAATTTTGTTTGGCGGGCAGAGTGCAAACTCGGTAGTTTTGGAGGTTTCTTTTCTTTTGTCTTTACAAAGAGGAGCTTCGTCTCTCTTAAATTACTAGTTCTTGAAGTTTTAATGGTGACATTGATATTTTACAATAAATGGCTGATTCAAGATAAATAGCTGGATCGCTTTTGGTTATACTTCGAACAGTATTTATAATTTTTTTCAAAAGCCAGATTTTTGGCAAAAGAAGAGTAGCATCTTATTGTAAGATAACACCGCTTTAATTAACAACTGACATCACAAAAAAAAAATGCAAAATTTTGCGAACAATGACCACTACCTAACCCTTTTGACATTAAGTTTTGTTGCAGGGCAAAAATTCATAATACTACATTTATAGACTCTCGTCGTTTGTCTTTGAGACCTTGCTGAATTTTCATTTTCGGATTTTAACTTCCATTTTTTTTTATTTTAGTCCATAATTTAACCGTATTTTAAAATTCAAGTCTGGTACTGCTTTACGCTTATGCCAAAAAACCGTTTTTTTGCCTGCGGACCTTGCTTCGAGTATTGTAGAGAGAGATGACTTAATAGCCCCACCCAATTCATGATTCAACTTTTACACCAGATTAAATTTTAGCAACAATAAAACTGCGATCCGCGAGCTGGTTAAGGATTTTCTGGACAAAACGAACAAAATTGAACTCTTATCTCTCAAATTGGGCTGAATAAGTAAAAAAAAAAAGAGTCTGAAAGGTATTTTGCAAAATTTGAAACCCAATTTTACCATTATTCAGATAATTATTGAGCAAATAATATCGAAGTGAGACTCTGAGGTAGTCAAACCAATTTTAAGCAGGGTACAGCCTCATCAATTTGATTTTCAAAATACCTTAAGATTTTCATTAAACAACATATTTTAGTATGATAGCAAAAAACTCAATATATATCTATACTATAATTTATTCAAATGCGTGTGACAGCTATCTCCCCATAAATAAGTTTTTTTTTCAATTTTGCATGTTTAAGGAAGGAATTTTTGCACGTTTAAGCTATATCGTATATAGCAATGCATAAGAACTTGATCGATCTTCTAGTATACGAGCACTAGGCCTATTGAATGACCCGATTGTATGGCTGTAGCAATGATGCCGGCATGGGAGGTACGGAGGGCAGCGAAGTGTACTGTATTTATTGTAAATGTCCGATTTCATCCATCTACACATGATGTAACAAGCGTTTTTCGCTTTAGCACGTTTGAAGTTAGTTAACCTATAGTACCGTGCTTCAAGATTGTCCCAGAGGATGCAAAATTGGCCTGCAAATGTAAAAACTTTTAGGTACCGATATATGCCGTTTTTCATGTTTGTTTTAATTGTTTCTTTTTTAATCGCAGATTGAAAACCCATGACAAAAAACTGAAAACCCAGCACTATAAACGGGTTCTGTCAGAACACTCTCATGAATTACAAATCTTGCCTCCAAACAAGTCTGCTCAAATCCTTTTAGTTTTCGAGATGACGTTTTTTGAAATTTTGTTTACAATCTTGGATTTGAAACACTTAACAAAATTTGAAAATCCGAATCCCATAACTGATTGATTCTCTCAAAGGCTGACAAGTGTCTCCAAAAACTACTGCTCAAT